TGTGCACACATGCATACACACACATGTGTGTGTGTGTGTGTGTGTGTATATATATATAGTAAGCCCTCTTCATAACTTACTAAGAAAAATGAATCTTGATATTCTTATGATTAGCATAAAATAAACATTTTTGAATGCCCATATTAGTGGCACATTATCTAGTGATTACCAAATATTCCAAACCATAGAACACAGTACAAAGGTGAATATCAGTAAAAATTTGGTTTGCTTTATTAGTAACTTCAGTAGGATAGTATGCTGATCTAGTGGATATCCTTAATGAATTTCTGTTTTAAAAAGTATAAGATTTTGAACTCATTGATATTTACAACATCTCCTGGCATAAAGGCCCTTTTACATATTTTGCTAATTTGAATAGCTGTTAACATTAAATTCTTCCAGTTTCATTTTTAATTCATGTTAACCTGTTTCTTCCTTTGACATGTAAATGTCCTTAATACAGCTTTTTTAAAATATAGTTTTCTTCAACCTAAGCTCATTAGTAAATGTAATTGCCCTGTTTATATACAGTTTTCATATCTTTTTTAAGATGTGGAGATCTGTTTATTTGTTTTTGAGAAATTGGACTGAGAAAAGACAATTCTTTAATACTAACATCCACACTGCTGCTAATCTGATGGGGTGGAATGCCCAGATCCTACCCTTACAGATTTAGACTTGCAATTTTCCATACATGAGGGGTGTGTGGAGCGCTGGCGATTGACCTCAAAGAGGTGTTTTGCCTTCTAGAAGCAATCAAACTGGACCAATTTAGTGAAGTTCTTCCCCAAAGCATGTCTCCTCACTCAACCAATCTGTTATGCTTGAAAGCAGCAATAGTCTGAATGAAACAATGCAGGACTCAGTAGATTAGAAGCAGGGGTTCCATTTTGCTTGTTAGATTTATAATCTGCGTTTTGTACAGGAGCTCAAGGTGGCATCTGAAGTCTCTTCCTATTTCTCTCCATGACAACTCTGTGTGATAGAATGGGCTGAGAGAGTGAGTGTCCCAAAATCACCAAGGGCAGTGCTTCTCAACCTCATCAATTTTAAGATGTGTAGGCTTCGACTCCCAGAATGCTGGCTGGGAATTCTGGGAGTTGAAATCTACACATCTTAAAGTTGATGAGGTTGAGAAATATTGCCCTAGAGGGTTTCTATGGATGAGGTACACTGGGATCTGGTTATCCCCAGTGCCAGCTGGACTCCTTAATCACTGTACCACCCGTCTCTCCTTGCTTTGCTTTGTGAGGTGGTCTGAAGGAACACTTTGCTCTGTTGGAGTGACACCCTTTAAAGACCTGCACACCCCTAGATTTCAACTCTATGCTGTCTTGCAATTTCTTACAAACTTCAGGTTTCTATCTTATCATCACAGTGTTGAGAATTTGTTTAAAATTTCTCTTGGGGACATTTTGGAGTTTCAATGTTGGTGGTGGCCAAGGTGCTTCTGTTGGCATTATTATTTTCTGTTGCACTTATTTCTGTCACTCTGAAGCCTTCCTCCTCCCTCACACTGCCTAAGTGGAAAAAAGTCAGTTCCCTCATGATAGCTTCCACTGAGATTTAATTAAAGTGTGGGAAGGCTGAAGACTTTTGGAGGAATGACTGTACAGTGAAAACCAGGACATTCACACCCGTCTTGATTGCCTCATAACTATTGGAATTACTGTAAATTCCAGTTTAGTTTGTGTCTAGCTCACTCCCAGACCATCTCTACCTCCAGATCAGAGCAAGCATACACACACACACACACACACACACACACACGCCCACCAGGGTACAAGGAATTAACTAAGGACGTGCAAGAGATTTTAATGTTTATATTATACTATTGCATTATAACATATACATCTAATATTGCAATATTAAGATATTTGTCATGGCTTTAGTCATACCCCATTCCACTGAACCTAGAAATGTAGGTTCTACCAATGTTAGTATTTTGCCAAAACTTGTCATCAAATTTCCCCCAAATATTTTGGAGCCTGGTTCATAAGGCAAAGCACTAGGTAATATTGTAAAATTACTGTGAGTGACTTTCAGGTTGGTTTGCATCTAGTGCACTCCCAGTAAATTCCTATATCCAGATTAGAGCATGTTCTCAGTTCATCTAGCAAAAAAATACAGCTTGATGTTTATTTTTTCTGCAGGACAGTCCCAACTAAGGTTTATGGGAGTTGCAGTCCAAAATATCGAAAGGCAAAATATATAAATGAAACCTTGTCTTAGAAATAAGATGCAACTGAAAACTCATATATTACCTGTATCAAAATCACAGTTGTTCCAAACTCCCTGAATTTTGATATGAATCAAGTGCCAGAATTCTTTGTAAATAAATGGCATGCTCTAAGCTGCCACATACATGGGGGGAAAAAATGGTTAATGCATTGCAGTGAAAAGTTCCTACCTCTTGGGAATACCAAGAGCAAAACTGTTTATAATAATACGCATTATACAACCATAGCTGATTGTCTAAATGGAGCCAGTGTAGGAGCCCCTTTGTATATAGTAAAAAGTAGCAAATCATTGAATTCTTTGCTACCTTAGTGCAGCACTTGACAATTTTTGTTCCCCTGGGAAACCAATATACAACCATAAACATCAAGACCTTGATCTTCCTTGAGACTAGCAAAATCACAATCTTATTTTGGTGAGACCTCATGACACTCCAGCATTTTCATGCAGGATCTCAGAAGGTTTTGGAGTAATAAGAATGATACGGTACAAAAACAGGCCATTTGGTCAGATGAAATGGGAGTGATGTGGTCTTGCAACATCTGCCAGTCTAGAAGCATCAATAATTCCCAAAAGCTCTGATTCTCCATGAATCATCAGTGATAGTTACAGTATGTCCAGTTCTGAGGCCACAGGTTGTTTCAGTAATCAGTAACTTACATTCAGGTAACATAGACTTGATGCAGAAAGAGTCCAGGAAAGTCTAGGGGTTTATTTTAGAAAGAGTGGATCAGAGTACTGTATTTTTGGAGCTGCTATTTCTGAAATGGAATCTGTACTAAATGATGCTTTTGGCCTTGCTAGAAAGTTTGCTTCAGATGGAAATAGGATGGGGAAAAGTTCTTAAGTTCTGGGATTTACTTTCTTACACTTGATATTTAAATAGCAGTATAGTTTCATTGCACATGCACGTGACATGTACATTTTTATATTGTCACTTCTCTGAAAACACAGTTTTGATGAAGAGGCTTCCTATGCTAAATTCACTTGCTTAAGGTATTTTTTCCTTAATATCGGTTGTAGCATAAATATGAATACATTTTTACATTCAGAAAAATAAATAAATAAACATTTTATTGGTAGGAAAAAAATTACATACCACCATAGCAAATTCTTTTCTCTGTGTGCTGGAGAAAAGGATGCAAATTCCCCCAAATGACCAACTTCGTATTTTATTCATTTTCAGCAAGTAACCAAATAAACTAAACTATAGTAGGCTTGGCTTGCAGCATCAGTGGTTAAATGGAGATAAAATATGGCAGGGGAGTGAAAAAAATAATAGGAATAGACAAAAAGAGCAATCAAGAATTCTGAAATTATATTATTTCCTGGAATACTATCTATTTAAAATTAAGATTGTGACTATCCTTGGATTGTTTCCTGTGGTGGCAATTTGTGTCACTCAGAGGTGCCTCTTTCCAGCTTTTTGGCATGTTGCAGTATTTATAAATCCAGAACAAATGTTTACAAATGCTGAATCAGGATCTAGCGATAGAGGAAGAACATTCTCCTTGGCTTAAACACTTAGCACTTCCTGTAGTTTGATCAATAGAGACAATGAACCAAATAAGAACAGAGAAGATTTATAAAACTTTCTCAGTCTGCTAGGAAGGGCACTCTATTTCAAAAGAGTTACTAGTGAATAAATGAACTCCTGAATGTTTGGAACCTATATCTGTAGTAGTAGCCAAATTCACACATCACACTAAGCTGGAATGTGGTCATTGGCTCAACATGTTTTTGTGAAGTGAGCCATTGCAATTTTTAAGTTGTAGTTAATGATATGTCCAAATACCATCTCTGAGGCCTCCAGAACTCCCTATATTTACACCACCAAATTTCTCTGGATCTCACTAGAATGGGGCTTTTCTTTGAAAACAAAATATTATATTATATTTTACACCACCAAATTTCAGCAGACAAGTTGCCAAACATCGATGGGAAACACACAGCAACTTTATTGAAAGTCCTAAAATTGGTTTAATATTTTGTTTTCAAAGAAAAGCCCCATTCTAGTGAGATCCAGAGAAAAATGGAAAGGTCTTGTTAGGCCCACCCATTTTGCCTCTCTCTCTTTTTTTAAAAAAATAAATTTATATGCTGCCCAACTCCCAACAACTCTGGGAGTTACAGATAAAAATGTTAAACCAGAAAAAAATACAATAGTAGTAAGAAATGAAGGGTGAAAATGGGAAAGGTGACAAAAACTGGAAAAACTAATTGTTCCACCCACTGTGCCGTGCCATTTATTTGTTTGTTTGTTTGTTTATTTTCAGTATTTCTAAGGTTGCCCAACTTATAAACACTGACTTCCAAATAATACTAAGGGCTGTCCATGAGCACCAAACAGTTACCCTACCTTCCCATCAAAGAATGTCAGAATTGGAGCCAACTGTAATGGTATGTGGGAATGACCTTGGGAGATAGGAGAAAGAGCCACAGACTAGACAACCATCAGATAAGAGGCAGCTGAGTCTGCAGAAGGAATGGAGATGTGGCAAACATCTCAGAAGAGACCCTCCCTAGTTTCTTGGACTGTAAAGGTGAGGGGGGACAGAAGTACTTTCAGACTTGCAAGATTCTGTTAATGTAGCCTTACAATAAAGATAGAGCTAGTAATTCTGAGTGTGCTTCTTGTCTGGACTATCTCACAAGGCTGACATCAATCTTACAAGTCTGAAAGTACATCTTTCCCACCACTCTTTTACAGTCCAAGAAACTAGGGACGGTCCTTTCTGAGACATTTACCACACCCCTATTCCTTCTGTGGCTTCTTATCTGACCTTTGTCTAGTCTGCGGCTCTTCCTCCTGTCTCCCAAGGTCATTCCCACATACCATTACACCAAAAATGTGAAAACTCATAAATTTTGGAGGGAAGAGGTTAAATATGGGAATAGGAGTAGGAGATTTCTGGAAGCTAAACTATTTCTATCCCTCGCTTTAACCTACCAAACAGTCTAAAATAAACTCCCCAATGACAGCTTTGGACTGTTTGGGGAGAGGTTTGGAGAAGGGTGGCAAAGATAGTTTGCCAGAAGCCACTTGCCTATACTCTCATTCTTAACTGTGCCCACAACAAGAATAAAAGAAAATTGGACCAAAATGTTGTCTGCACTGCTTTTGCTGACATGCCTACATCCTCAAAAAGTTTTTTGCAACCCCCCTGAGAAGTCCAGAGGTGAGTTATACCCCTGAACATTTGACTGTGCCCTACCCTATGTTTGATAGATTATTTGGTTAACTCTGAGATGTTTACATGAAAGATCTAAAAAGTGTTTTAAGCACATTTTTGTGTTTAAAAATGTAATTTTGATTCCTAATGAGAAGGAAACCACACTGTGGAAAGTGTACATTCTAACAAAGCAAGACTGTTTTGTCATCTAAGACTGTCACCTTTGGGTGCAACTGGACCATGGACATAACTCTTGGACTGGGAATGTTTTTGTATCCTGGACCTCTTTCCTGTCACTTCTTCAGAAGATGACAGTGACCCCCACTAGTACATTATGGGCAGCAGCGACTGGTGACACAAAGTCTAGAGACTTAAGGCAGCTCTTCCTTGTACTTAAAATGGCCTGCAGGTTATACATACAGGAAACTGCTCTGCAACATTTGCAGCTTTTGGAAAATAGCTTTTAATTTCGTGACAAGGATGAATGAGCCTTAAGGGAGTAGTAACAAGTAACATTTCACTGGAGGTACAAAATCTTGTTTGACCCCATTTTATAACTGTAACTCCTGCAAAACAAAGCAAAATAGAAGTTGTTGTTTTTTTTAAACAACATCTGCTTTTTCCTTGGCTGATATTAAAAAAGGAAATGTTAGGTTGTTTTGATACTTGGGTTTTTTTTCCCCCCTTTCCCTCCTCCTTGTTTGAACCAGTGTGCAATATTTTTCAATTCAAATATATTTTTGAAACATAGTTTCACTTTGTCATATCTGACTTGCTTGAAATCTTTGCACAATTTGTCGGTGAATAAATTCAAGATAAATACATCAATAAGCCAGGAAAGGGTTTGCATTCCTAATAAAAAAAAAACTTTTCCCATCACTTTTCGTGATAAAGACATATGCCCCAATTAAATGGGGAATGTAATTCATTTGGTAGTGGCTTTGGTTCCTTTATTGGCATTTTCTTCTGTCATTTATTGTGATTTTCTTCTCCTCTTTTTTGCAGACACACTCAACCCGTTTATCAAGCTGCACACAAATATACCAGAAATGATACGCATAGCTGACGGAGAGACGCTGACCATCCCCTGCAGAGTTACAGCACCGGATATCCCTGTTAAATTAAAAATGGTATACTTTTTGATTTCAACACTTTTGTTGCTTGCTATATGTATTGCTCATTATTTATTCAATTAAAATGGTTTGATTCAGGTAAATGCAGTTAATCCAACCGTTAAGGCGAGATGCAGTCTGGCCCTCTTGGGTGTGCGTGCAATGTCACAATGCATGTAGAAAAGGGGTGGGCTTGCATTATAATACAAGTAGTTCCCAGGTTACGAACGCCCCATTTACAGATGACTCATAATTAAGAACGGAGCCTATTATAGCAAAATTCAAACTAAATACACAATGGTTTGAGTTAAATACATAATGGTTTGAATTAATTACACAATACTACTTATACAGTATTATACAATAATTCGACTTAAGGACAGACCTTGGGAACGAAACTCATTGTTAAACTGGGGACTACCTGTACTGTGATTCTATTTCCATCACCCTGACACGCCCTCCCCAGGGTGTCCACTGCTTCAATTACAGATCACATGTTCTAATCTGTCTTTTAATGGTACTTTCTATTTCTCCCTGATTGTCATTGGAGTGCCTTGCAACTCACCATATTTATTGTCTTTCCATGAAATTTGGTGGACAATTGCATGGCTGAATTGCATGGCTTGATTTGCCACTGGGATCCTTGGGGTCTCTGGGGGTCCCAAGCTGCATTCTCTCCATCCCTCTCCTTGAAATCCATAGCTAGTCAGTGTAGGCAAAGCAAACTGTCCAGTGTTTTATTATCCCAGAGCAGTGTTTCTCAACGTCGGCAACTTTAAGACGTGTGGACTTCAGCTCCCAGAATTGCCCAGCCAGCCATGCTGGCTGGAGAATTCTGGGAGCTGAAGTCCACACGTCTTAAAGTTGCTGACGTTGAGAAACACTGTCCTAAAGAATATTTACAAAGACACTGCTGATTGTGAGGAATGATGTGGTGGCAGTATGTCATTGGATTTCTCCATTTGTGGGAAAATCATTATGACTGAGGAAAGGCAATTAGTCTTACATGGTTGGTAAAGTTGACAGATTTTGCTGAAATGGATAAATTGACTTCTTTGTTTAGAGAAAAGACATTATCTACATTTATTGGCGACTGCAAGCCTCTCAAAATGAAAATAATGATCTTGTGATTTATGGTTTTGAGGATTAGGTAGGATAGATTATGGAAAGAAGAGTAATATGATGTAACTTTAGAGACAGAGGTTAACATCAAACTCACAATATATTAACAATCATGTAGGCCATGTTCATCACCCAGAAAAACACTGCATTTTCATGTATATTAAGTTAAAGAAACAATCAATGTAGTCTCAAAGTTAAAACTTAATTCATTCAGTGTCAGTTGATAAATCAGGAAAGTTCTTCCAGATTCTTGTGGTACTTTTCTTTTGCTTCAGGACTTGCCTATACTAATTCTTTTCAAGATGAGTTGTCGATTTATTTTAGTTTTTATTCTTACTTAATACAGTGCTAGCAGTCCATATTGTGCTTCAAAGAATAGTGTATAGTTGGTTTCTTCAGCTTAGCATGTTGTGTGAATCCAGCTATGACGGTTTCTACACCATGGTTTATGGTGGGGTAAAACCAGAAATATTTATATTATTATTATTATTAT